TTAAGATAAGGTATGGATAAACAGACGCCAACCCCTTCTCCAACCCTAACCAATAAATGTGTAATGAACTATTTGAGAGTTAAAAAGGTTGGGGGGGGGGGATTTTAAAATATTTTAAGAAAAATTTCTACGGGGCTGTTTATATGGAAGCCGGGCTGGCGCGCTAAACCCAGTATGGAATCTAAGCGCTGTGTGCTGGACATATCCGGCGCACAACCAGCTGTACATCAATACATATACTATTATTTGGCACACCTGTCTGGCGCACAAAAAAGTCTCATTCCATACAGGCGCTAAATGGGTAGTTATGGCGTTCTGTGACCCCTGTCCGCGGTCAAATCAGATCATGTCAGCGGCTCAACATTTTGCATTAATTACTTTAATTAACACAATTTGAATTCGCACGCGAATTATGGAAATTGGTCTCATTAGTGACAGCGAAATAACATTTCTAAAAAATTTATCTAATTTTGAAAAAAGGGGCAATTTAATAATAGTAATGTACAGTCATACAGTAGCAACCATTATTTAAGTAATTTACTAAATGTCGCTGACACAATCTGATCTGATTGCGGACGGGGGTCACAGAATGCTCGGGATAAATTGACTACCTGCTAAACGAGACAGCCCAGTAAACGGGATGAATTTTGCTTGCGTTTATATGAGGAGATTTTATCCTGCTTGCCAGGCTAGAAATTGTTTACATTGCACTCAACTGGCTTTGCCGGAACAAATTTCAAAATTAATTTTTGCTTCAAAACTCAATATATTTTTGTAAACATTACAGCTATTGAAGCACATTGCAACCTTTTGTTTTGTCTTTTTTACCTATGTAATGTCAAGAACTATAAAAATAATCGCAGAAAAATGTTTCATCCTGGCAACTGGGCCGGCCTGCTTGCAAGTGTTTAGGCCACTATTTGTTGCATATTAGTTTCTCATCCCCACCCACATGCTTTTTAAGAAATGGTCTTGTTTGCTATGATTGCCATTTTTGACCATTATTTATAAATTTTGTGATGTCTTCAAAGTGAAATTTGAAAGAAAGACAATTAGAAACGTTCCCAAACTAAATTTTATAGTAATACAAAATTTCATACCCAAACAGCCAGTTTTTCACGCAAATACATACACGCTTATTAATTAATTAAATATCCAAACTCAGCTATAAAAGTTCTGCCAGGCTGGTCCGAACAAATGAATACATTGCCCGTCAAATCGTATATTGTTTATACTGTTTTTATTTGATCTATAAATTGAATTACAATTACAAATTTCTTCTAATTCTACACTATAATACTCTGCTAATACACAAATATGAACTTACTTCTTGGCGGGTTAACACATTTTAATCTACATGTGCTTCATATCTTTTACTAAGCTTTGTCCATGTTATTTTCAACTCATGAAACATGCAAACTGTCAATCATATTAGGGATGAGCCGATTAATCAGCCGTTTTTTAAATAATCGGTAATCGGTTGATTATTGCTTGATAATCGGCCATAAGACTTTTTCTGCAGCTGCCAAGCACATGCTAAAATACTGAATACAAGCGAATAGATTTTCACATTTTGTTGCAAAACCTGTGTCTTTTGTCTCGAGCGAAGTGAAGCTGGGAACATTTTCAATGAAAAACGCAGCAGTCTAGCTCTGCATAGCTTACAATATCCTGTTTTTACACCATAATCTGCCAAAAGTAAACTTTGACTATTGACATACAAGATTGAAGCTGTTTTCAATTGTACATAATGCGTATTGTAAACAATAAAACCGCATTTACAACTTCATTGTTGGTCATCTTGTAATTTTTCGCTTGCTTTTTAATTAAAATAATCGGTGGGTACCAATTAGTTACGATAATTGGCTTGTAAATAATCGGCCTCAGTAATCGGCAATTTTCCTTATCGGCTCATCCCTAAATCATATCCACTGTCTATTATTAACTAATTAACTTAGAGATTAATTTTACTTAGTATTTTTGCACAAGTGAACATAACAAATCCTACAACCTGATTGGTAAAATTTTACGTATTAAGCTGTTATATTCACCTACAGGTGAATATAACAAAACTGGAATTTTCAAAATGGCGGCTACCCATTTTGTTGAAGTTTACTGATAAAGAAATAAGCGAAATTAAAATATATTCAGCACCAAATAACACAAAAAACTTGTGTAAAAATACTAAAACAATTATTCGCCTCAGGCTCAGTGATTATCGGGGGATATTCACCTCGACTTTGGTGAATAATTGTTAATTATTTTATCTAACGTCAACAAAATATCGATACAGACTGAATTGATGAAAGCTGTTGCAAAAAACTGTTTTACATTACTACTTTACAGAATGTAAGAATTGGGTGCCATACTTCAGTATGATTATTAGTTCGATATTACTCCCGCCGGCTGTGCGAAGCGCCGTGCGAGGGTACTAATTCCGCACAGCTAATTATACCTGGGTGTGTGAAAACATAGCGGAGTGCAAAGTTGTGCTCCATTTTGTTTATGTCATGGATGGTTTTCGACGTTATGCGTATGTACAAACTCTGTCGAAGTAATTGTTTTTCATTTTGAAAGGACATATTTTGCTGTTTTACAGCAATTGTTTGTTTTAAATTTTGTTAAAAAGATTACAAAATCACAACACGCTTTTTTTTTTCGATTTTAACTGGAAATGAGCCTGTAGTTTTATGAATTAGTGGCTGTTCAACTGTGAAACAAAGTTTGTATAATCATTGTCATAATTGTTTTGAATTTTGATGTTTTGATGTTGATGGCTTTGATAATTTAATCGTTGTTGTGCCGGTTTGGGTAATTGTGAACATTTCAGTAGTAAAATTCCATGCCGTACTTGCTTTGTGTTGTCGGCTTTATTCATATCTCCGAAATTTTAAAGCCATTCTTTAACTCGATGATAATTCACTTTAATGCAAGCTGGTATGCATGAAATTGCATATTGTTCATTAATATAAAGCTAGCGCACCAGTTGTGTTTTTATGTTTGTTTATAATGGTCCTAATATACTTTATGTCGAGTTTTTATACTTCATCTGTTAAGAAAGGTGAGGGGTTGCTGCATGCATGTATTTTCTAGTAATTATTAAAAGCACTATTATACAAGAAATGTCAAGTATGAATTTTCCTTCAATGGTTGCTTTTTATTGGTCCGAAAGTTTAATATAGTTTTGAGGAGAGAAATGTTTTTACCACCAAACATGGTACCCCCCCCCCCCTTCCCCCGTCCATGACACTTGTGACGTCAGGTACATACGGGATTTTGGGGGCGGGTTTTGGCGGGAAAATCTGTAATGTTTGGAGAAGACAAGATGGCGCCGGTTACCTCGTGTTATATCAAAGGGCATTTTTGTTCACAAATACCCGCTTATTTTACGTTATAGCGACTGGTTAGTTTTGGAAATTATAACTCAATGGACATGGAAGACGATTCTGTATTAAAGAGAAAAAGATGTGCAGTTATTGTGATGTTATTTGTTGTGAAAGACGGCCCGAAATTTCGCTACTTCGCCGTACTGGTTTATAAAACATTTACAAGCAACAGCAATTGAACTATATCACAAAGAAACCAATGTGTACAAGCCAATCAAGTTCTTCAGTTTACAGGTCAGTTTACTTTTTAATAATTAGTTCATTTAGTTCTATATTAATACGAAGTACCGGAACAGTATGGTTTGCTATTTGTACTGTAGTCGGAATATTTAAGATAAGGTATGGGTAAACAGACGCCAACCCCTTCTCTAACCAATAAATGTGTAATGAACTATTTGAGAGTTAAAAAGGTAAAAAAGTTGTGGGTGAAATTTAAAAATATTTTAAGAAACATTTCTATGGGTCTGTTTATATGGAAGCCGGGCTGGCCTGCTAATGCACCAATCAATGTTATGCCCGACCCTAGGGCGGGCGGGCAAACCCAGGGGCATTTGACATTTTCAATATTTTTGTGTCAATAGGCCCTGCTGTGAAGCAGCACTTTGTGGTCAATCATAGTCAAATGCCCCTCACCCCTGAGTTAGAAGAAAACTACAAAGATGTTATAATCTGCTCAAACAATTTATTTATATAATATAGCATTTGTAAATTCTGAATGCTATAAATTGGCTAAGAGCCATTCCCGTCACTCTTGGATTCAATTGTAATCATTATTTTCTCATTTATTTCCTAGTCTATTAAATTATGTACTAAAAAGACAAAAGTTAACAAGATTTTATTTTAAAAAGCCGCAAATAAAGTGATATTATTCATGAATTCACCTTGCGATTTTCCTGAAACACGCCATGATGTCGGCCTCGCTTGCAAAAATGATAGGAGACTGGTAACAAGAATGTCAAAACGTCCGACCGTGGGAGCTTCCTTGATGTCAAATAAAATAAAATCCCCGACCCAGAAGCAGGGAAATCAGGTCAATTCCCTGTGTATCCCCGCCCTCCCTAGGGTCGGGCATAACATTGATTGGTGCATAAACGAGACAGCCCGGTAAGGGGGTGAATTTTGCTTGCGTTTATATGAGAAGATTTAATATTGCTTGCCGGCCTAGAAATTATTTACAATTGCATGCAATGGACCATTTGCATTAGGCCACATAAAAAAAGTTGGTTAGCATCTTTTTTAATTTTTACTAATTTTTAACGCCTTGGTTCTAGGTTTGAAACTGGATTTACAGTACAGATAGTACTGGTGCAGTACAGATATTTTTTTATATATTTCAAACTATGATTCATACCGTCATTTTCGCACACAATGTCGGAACTTATTAACACAATTGACTACAGTCAACAGAAATACTACATATATTAGAGCCTGTTGATCAATAAAAAAAATGCTGAGCAGGGCCTTTTTTAATTTGTGGGCAGGCAAGGACACTAACTAACTATTTTTTTATGTGGCCTTATAGACTAAATTTTGAACTAAACAAGTCTAGACAAAAGAGCATCACAAAATTAGTAATATTCCAAAGTTTTGTGAAATGTTGTAAAATACGAATAATATAGCCCCTAAATCAAACAGAAAACCGATGGCTAAAACAAAACCTGACCCGACCTCATTTCTTTTTGCATGCACGCAACGCCTTTGCCGAATACGCTACCAGGCTGAATTGCTGAAAGCTGTTGCAAAAAACTGTTTCTTTATATATTACTTTACAAAATGTAATAATTGGGTGCCAAGATTCAGTACGATTATTAGTTTGATATTAATAGATAGATATGTAGATAGATAGATGTTTTATTAAAACTACTTTACAGCTGAAGCTGAATTGCGTAGATGTTTACGTAATATGTACAAGAATGGTGTAGGTTATATAAATATTTACAATTGGTGACAGGATACAAGGTGCAAAT